AGCAGGTGCAGCACTGGTGGCATCGTCCAGGAAGTCGAATTCAGTGTAGTCCGGCTCGCCGAGGCCGGAGCTTTCTATGGGGGACTCTCGCTCCGACAGCGGAAGCTTGGCCTGCTCTTCTGGATCCTTCATCAGCTTTGGCAACTTCAGGTTCCGTCTAGCCCACCCAGACGTGTAATTCATGGCCTTCAACGCCCGGGATAGCCGCCGACACAGGAGCCTTTGCATCCGCTCCTGGCCCAGGTTGTAATAAACGGACATCTCCCGGCTGAAATACTCCCGGCCGGCGGGGGAGTTCATCCCCCAATTCTCAAGCCTGGCGGCCACCACTTCGTAGCACCAGGGGAGCCTCTCATCGGCCTTCCACCCCTCGGCCAGGAACTTCTCAACGGCCTCGTCAGCAGCCCTCACAGCGGCGGACTCGGCCTCAGCTTTCGCCTTAACGGCCTCCTCGCTCTTGCGCTTCTCGGCCTCAAGCGCCCTTTGGGACTCCTCGAGCTCCCTTTTACTCTCCTCGAGCTTGACCAGGGCATCGTCCCTGGCCGCGGCGGCTTCATCAGCTTTTGCCTGCAGCGCCTTGGCATCCTCCCGGAGCCGATCAAGGCAAGCTACCGCCTCGTCGGCCGAGGCAGCCTTCTGCTCCAGCCCTTTCAAGCGAGCTATCTCCCAGTACTGCCTCTTATGGCTTTCCATAAGCATGAAGGCACTCTGCAGAAGGAAAACAAAGGTCAGGCAAAAGACTCTACACAGACGAAAAGGGAACAAAACACAAGGACAGTAACTTACTTGGACGAAGAGGTCCATGCCGCCCTCGTAAATCTTCTCGTCCCCAAGCTTCTTCAGATAAGCCCGATCTTTGGCCGGCATGGCCTGGGCCAAGACGACGTGGCCAGGGACGAGATCATTAAACACGCCCCCGCCGACGGGGTATTCTACCACCTTCTGGTAGGTGGCAGCGGCAATCTCCTTGCCGGCCCTCTTCGTCCGTGGTTCCTGGACGAGAGGAAGCGCTGGGGCAGCATCGTCAGCGACAGTAAGGTCCACGACGGGACCACCATCGTCCACGATGGGGACAGCCAGGGTACCGGCCTCAGTAGCCGGAGAAGGGGAAGGAGCCCTCTTCATCTTCTTCGAGACGCTCAGGCCGGCCTCAGTCAACTTTTTCTGGCCGTCAGTGGCCGGTCTCTTTTTCTTTGATGGGGCAGGCTTTGGGGCCGCATCAGCAGTAGCCCCGCTCCCACCAGCAGCGGCACGTCGGGCCGCCTCGGCCGCCTTAGCAGCCAGCTCCTCGGCCGCCTTGGCCTTGGCAACAGCCATTATGGAACGTCGGTCCATGACAAAGTCTACAAAGGAAAAACAAACAGATTAGTAAGGCAAAGGACAAAACATAAAGACAGAAAGCCGAAGAAAAAATTACCATCGGCCTCAGCAGGAATGCCCAAATCCGGGCCATCGGCCTCCTCAAAGGTGGTGGTCATCCTCGGCCAGAGTTGGAGGTCATCCTCCTTATCTCCATATAGGTGATATCTGAAGAAGCCGAGGGCGGTCATCTTGTATTCAGTAACGTAATCTTTCACGCTCCTCGGCCCCCCTTCCAGGAAAGCCTCCACCTGAGCGTCCAAAATAGAGCTCTTCGGCGGGTCATGGAGATTGAACCTCCCGGTATGGCCGAGAGAGGGGAACTCGGTGCCACTCTCACCAATGGACACAAACACGAACATGCTCTTACACCCATGAATGGACGTAGGCAAATCCGTGAAGCTCCTCTTCCTCGGCAGCTGTTAAAGAGTAGCATAGGCCGCACAGTTCTTGTGGCTTCCTCGGCCGATCTGGTACAAGTTCATGAATAAGGCCGTGGTCGGCCTGAAGCCCAACTCCTCACACCGAAGTAAAAAACCCACCATCAAGGAATAACTGTTCGGCGTCAGCAAGGCCGGAGGAAGCCCCACCATGTCCAGATACTCAATGACGAAAGGGTGAAGGGGGAACCTCAACCCCTTAGCAAAACTCATCGGGTATACTCCAAAGTATCCCGGTGGCGGAAGTAGAACATGGTCCGTCGGCCTGGGTGCCCTAACCCGCCCGAACGGCCCCACGTACATCTGGGCGACAAGATAGTCGGCCGCACTGCTCTCCGGCTTGATCAGGAATATGTTGGTGAGGTCCAGGTAGGAGAGGCCCGGCCCATTCTTCGGCCTCCTCACCCTCTTCAGCTTAGCTGCTCCCTTCACGGCAGACACCGGCCTCGGGCACGGAACGGCAGCAGAAGTGGACGCCCCGTCCACCACTCGGGACGCGCCTACGTCCTCACCCTCTGAAGAGGAGGCGGACTCCTCGTCCTCGCCTTCCTCGTCCATCAGCTCTCCGGATTTGTAGGGGCTTAAACGCTCTATCTCCTCTTCAAACTCCTCGAGCACCTCGTAGTCAAGCGACCTCGTGGAGGGCTGGTCGTCGTAGGGGTAGTAGTCCTCGTTCAAGCTCTTCATTACTACTACTACGGGCTTAAGGAGAACAACTTAAGATCTAAAGGTGTTCAAACGCCTAACACTAGATCAACTACCTAGGAAGCAAAGTATGAAAAGCGAGGAAGATCGTGATGAACACTAACCTCGAACAACGAAGAACACGAAGAACAGGCTTGGGAGTTTATCTCTCTAGAAAATCGGCCAGCACTTCGACAAATTCAGAATGCAAATACATTTTCTCGTCGAAGGGTGAGGGGTATTTATAGAACCCCCCACCCAACGGTCACTACACGTGGCACCTCCCCAATGGCCACACCAACGGCCACCAATGGGGGACCACCACGTCACCAACGGGCCAAACTCAAAATCAACAACCCACTGGCAAGACGGACTCTACGGCCTACACACGCTCAGCGGCTTTACAACTGCCAGCAAGCGCCCACAACGTCCCACTTGCTCGCCAAGATCACAACTGCCAAACAATAAGGAGACGGCAACGGCCAGGAACATAACGGCCACAAGATCAAAGAACCCAAGAGCCCACAAGCCATCAGCTCCTCGTCATGACCCTTGATGATAACTCTCTACAAGCGATCTGCGCGCAAGGGTTCTCCCACAGGGTTACCTTGGCCAGAAAATCGCCATGAGAGTTGGATTCAGGGGGGACTACGGCGAGACCGCTTCGGCCAGGGACTCAAGCAACTCCTTCACCCCTCACACTCTTCGGCCTGAAGCAGTGGGGGACTGGGGGACTACACCGGCCTCAACAAAACAAAGAGTATAAACAAGGTAACCACAAAACATGGCCACATCATCCACACAGCACAACGGAACCTCATCGGCCAAAGGCCCATAACGTCATTAGCGACGGCCAACAAGCCACTAGAGGCAAGGACACTCATCGTCCTCCGCCAACAATTAATCTTGACGGGCCCTTCGGCCAAGAACACGAAGGCCAACCAGCAACGGCCAAAAGGAGTGCGCGAGCACCCTCATCGGCCACCCAAAGGAAAGGACGCCATCGTCCTCAAAGCAAGGAACAAACTCAACGGCCTCACCGGCCCAAACATAAACTTCAACCACCAACGTCCAGGAAAGGGAAAGCGCGCCTTCAACGGCCGACATTGAAACAAGACAGTCATCATCCTCAAACACATTTAAGGAAACAACGGCCTCCCCACCCGCAGCGAAGAACAGGTAATGGCCAAAGCACAGAACAGGATCACCAAAGAGGAAACAACGCCAAACGCCGCAACGGCTAACGGCCCGGGGATGCCCGCATCGGCCAAGGGCAGCAAAGCACATGAATCTACTCTCCTTCGCTTCGTCTACGTCTCAGCTTAGAGAGTGGGGGACTCCTGATGGAGTATATGGGTCTGAGCCCCAGGACCCACATACTCGGAAGAACAGAAAGCACAAGACAACAGAGTGGCACCCTCGTCGGCCAAGACGCCCCCGTCGGCCGAAAAGGAGCCAACTCGGATTATGGTCCTGAGTCCAAGGAACCCGGGTGCCCTCGTCGGCCGTGCCCTCGTCGGCCACGCCCTCGTCGGCCACAAAGACCTCCCAGAATCGGATTTTATACTTACTCATTTGTACAGCCCATTAGTGGCTTTGTATTCGGCCCAGTAGCGGTCCAGTTGTAAATGGGCCTCCCAAGCCCAAGGCTTGGGAGCCCAACCCTAATTTTCTCTATAAATACTCCCCTTGGGAGTAGTTATAGGGGTTACGAAATCATTCTATTGAAGCATATTATTGCACTTCTCTCTCTAGCTCTCACTTCTCTCTAGATATACTCTATCATTAATATATGTTTTGAGTTATTTATAGAAATGGTTAATAACATTGTTTATGTTGAAAAATAATATATTACAGGTATATTACTAAAGTTTTGTTGAGAAATGAGAAAGGGATAAAAATTGGTGGCTTAAGATTTATTATTATTATTATCATTTTTATTATTGTCATTAATATTAGCACGGTAATTTAAAAAAGTTCATAACGTGCAAACTAACAAAAGTATAGTGAAATGAAAATATTCTTGTGATAAGTATCATACATCGATGTGCTATAAAAGAAAATCAAACATTTTGAAAGACTTCTTTGTATACAACATTTGTTGTTGTATTGCATCCTTCTCCTCCACCCAACAAAATTTTCAACCCATTTCTGCTCTTGACTCTTGAAACAGCCACATATAGCTGCCCATGCGTGAATACACTTTTTTCCAAATAAAGTCCAACATGTGCTAGTGTTTGCCCCTGACTTTTGTTGATGGTCATTGCAAAGCATACTAAAATTGGGAATTGTTTCCTCTGAAGTTTTATGTGCAACGTTGTATCTGTTGGGCATAGATTCATCCTTGGAATCAATATTTTATTCCATCTGCTCGGTCCGGTGAGGACTTTGGCTTCCAAGATGCGTTTCCCCAATTTTTTTTATCACCCCTCGTGTTCCATTGCATAGACCTGCAGATTGATCAATATTGCGCAATAACATTATAGGGACACCGATTTTGAGGCTAAGCAGATGGTTTGGCAATCCAGATATTGAAATGCTGTTTAAATATTCTTGTGGATATATGTCATCATCACCAGAACTACTTGCCGCAGTGGGACATATGCTGTCGTAGCTGAAATATTTTACCTCTTCTCCTGGTAACGTTGAGAGGATGTAGTTGTTTATGCCCTCTACTATTTCCAAAGTTGGTGCCAGGATTGCCCTCTCTTCAAAGTAGTCAAAATTTGACAGATTGTTGTGCAAGTCTGGATAAGTACTGTCAACAATGGCTTTGTAGTTATCCCCATTCGAGTGGATCAACAAATCAGGTGGTATTTCAACTTCAATGCCTCTGTCAGACTCCTTACCGATAGTGCCCTCGCCAATCTGTAATATCCACCTAGCAAATCGTTCAACTTCTTCCCTATCCAGCATGTTGCTTTGATGCATCAACCTCATGTTTATTGTGAGATGCTTGACTTGAACATAATCCCATAAGTATGATGAGTTTATTGCCGACATGACAATTTCTTCACGCGTGCCTTTAGGGATTACCGGTAGCGTCTGTCGAAAATCCCCTCATAGAACAACAATTTTTCCACCAAAGGGCAACTCTTCATTCTTTGGATTTACATATGAGCAAATATCTCTGAGTGTCTTGTCAAGAGCCTCAAAGCAATACTTGTGAGTCATTGGCGCTTCATCCCAAATGATTAATTTTGTGGCTATTAATAATCTTGATTTTGGACTCCCGCGCTTGATATTACATGTTGAATTTTCAGCAATACTCAATGGGATCGAAAACCTGGAATGAATTGCAGAATAATATATACTAATGCTAATATATACTATGTATTATATAATTGGAGACTTAAATTATTAATATTAATATAAAACGTAGTTATTATAAATGAAGTATGCAGAATCATTTTAAATTTATGATGATGTTTGATTGCATTAGTATTAACGATTAAATTATTTTTTAATAATGTAGTTTTATTAATAATTGAATTGGAAGTTGTGAAGAGTAAATTGGAACCTGGAATGAGAGGTTCTACCACCGGGAAGCAATAATGACGCAATGCCGCTTGAAGCAACATTAACCAACACTTCTCCTCTGCTCCTCACAGATGCTGCCAATGTATTCCATAAGAATGTTTTTCCAGACCCACCAAATCCATGAACAAAATACACACCTGGTTTGTGAAGATAACGGGTGACGTGTTTAGCATGACTTAAGATATTAATTGAGATATAATAAGTATTCATTAATTTTATGTAGTTTTCCTACCTCCTTGATCTGTAGATATTGCATTAATAACACAATCATAAATTTCTTTTTGTTCAGTCGTTAATGATGGAAGTAACTGCATCAGCTGGCTAGACAATTCTTCCTTATCATACTGTATTTCTTCCCGCGCCAATGCGTCAACTACTCGTTCATCATCTATATGTTCTACGACAGGCATCCCTTCAAAGTCAGCCAATGTTCTTCCATTACTCTTTAGAATCTCTTCGATCCTTTGAAGTGCCTTGTCTTGAGCCTCGCTCTCTTAAATAATTTAAGAACATTAATTGTATACATTTAATTAAATAATTTAACATGTACAATGATATGTAAAACTAATGTCACTCTTTAAATTGAAAAATAATAGTAATCCTATTTATTCTGTAAAATGCAATATAATTGTTAATGATGTGGAAGCGTACCTGAGACAATGTACGTTATATTTGGATTTCCTGGACCATGCAAGAAATCATCTGCAAGAAGCTTCCAACAATTGGTCCACACGTGCAATGGAGAATGCAGATTCTTTATAAGCAGAAAAGTAGCAAATAATGTTCTTAAGTATGATGCAGTTCCCCATTTGTTCACTTCTTCGAGTGCTTCAACAAATTCTTGATCGTCATCTATAATACCTAGTGCGTGGCAGGCATCTTTGTATGTCGGGTATACGACACCATCCACGGTGCGAACATCTTCAAAAGACTGACATCCTTTAGCTTTATTGAGTAGTATCCTTAAGTACCAACACTCGCCCGATCCCGGAGGTATGTTATGTATTCTCCCAATGCATGAGCGTTGTTGTCTTTTCACCCAAACTTTTGCACTCTCTTTCCATGTATACTTCATGGGAAATTCTGCGTAAGAAAGTGTTCTACCATCTGGATCAACTCTATTAGTTTCAAACCACGCAGCGAGCGTGGTTTTTTGTACTTTGGACTGCTGCACCACCTATTATTTTTGAAAATATTAAAATGAAATTGTTAGTAACTATTATTATATTCAACTATTTTAATTGAAAGTCAGTTTACAAAACTTACCTGCTCAATTTCTTGATCTTCATTGTATACCCCATATTGCTGATTGGGGAGATGACAACTCAGTCTTTCAACAGCCGGGATTCTGTAATGTATATCAAAGCTCAATATCCTCCACATACCTTCTGCGGCGCTAATATACCTGCAATTGCAGTAAGCTTTAATCTCATCATGTACGACATAGTTGTTCTCCGCTGTATCTTTTTCATATAATGCAGCGGTAACACGGTCGTGACCTTTATTGACATACTTGAAGAGATATTTTATAGATCTCGCCTTATAGCACCACTCGACATTTATGTGGGCGCAATACTTTCTGAGCAAGTACGGATTATATGGCACAACATATCTTTTAGGGGTGGGCATTTCGGTTTTCGGTTCGGTTTTCTTCGGTTTCGGTTCGGTTTCGGTTTAATCGGTTTGATAGAAAATGTACCAAATACAAACCGATTAAGTTTCGGTTTGGTTTCGGTTTGGTACGGTTCGGTTCGGTTTGGAGTTCGGTTTATCAAAGTATTAAGATTTGGATTGAAAAAAAATTAACTCAAAATAATGAACCAAGAAGCGATAGTAATGAACCAAATATAATGCTAGATATAAATTTGCAGATAGTAACAAAACACATATGAACTAAAAATATATAAGCATGACACATGTGTAAGCAACAACAACAACGTAACGTGAATGAATCAAATTATATATAAAGCCAAAACAAAAATAAAACTGGTGCTTGTAAGTAATGAACCAGATATATAGTAGTAACGGGTAATAAATTATAGTTAAATACTATCTACTTAAATCACTATAATTGTTATAGTTGTGAATGTAACTCTTGTAGTAAACTCTAGACCTGGACATTAAAATTGAAGAATTAAAGCCTCAAAAAGATTAACATCAATCAAATTAAATTGAGAAATCCTATATTTTGGTTTGGTTTAGTTTGGTGTAAGTTGATTTTGATTTGTTATTTTAAAAAAATAAGAAATTATTTCATTTTTAGATTAGTTCGGTTTTATTCGGTTTTATTCGGTTTTATGATTTCGGTTCGGTTTGGTTCGGTTTAATACGGTTTGGGAGGAATACTACCAAACTCAAACCAAACTACAAATGGTTCGGTTTCGGTTCGGTTTAATTCGGTTTGGTACGGTTCGGTTCGGTCAAACCGAACCGTTATGCCCACCCCTAATATCTTTTATCAACCGGTATTTTATTTTTTTCGGTCGTGATACCGGTATTCCTTCTTCTATAGATTGGATAACCATCTTCACGCACTGTTGTGAATTGGTTAAAAGTTCTTGGATAATATTTGCCACACTTTCTGTTTTCCATGCACAGTGCTTTCTTGTTTAGATATCCACATGGTCCATGGATCATTGTGCTTTGCACCGCATTAAAGAGCTCATAATCGAGATTCGGATCCGACAATTCGGCTGATATGACTTTGTCTATATCATCACACTCCCTTAGTTTGAACTATGGTTGTAAGAACAACACAATATGGGCATGCGACAGTCCCCTTTTTTGAAATTCTATCGTGTAGACCACTGCATATAAAATGCGACATATAGTACTATCATAGTAAGTGAAATGTCACCATATAAAAATGACAGAAATATTTATTTTTGAATAAATGGAATAATTTTTTTTAATAAAAAGTATTACGTGAATAGAGAAAGTAGATGAGTGATAAAATAATGTAAGGCATGGTAAGATAATTCACTAATACACATTTATGACATTTGTTAAAGAGATATTACCCAAAATAGGACTAAAACAGTTTTCAATTCTAAAATAGGACTGTCATGTTTTTATTCCCAAAATAGGACCAATTACTGCCATGTTTTGGTAGTACCAGACTTCAAACATGACAATATTTTCTAAACATGCCAGTAATTAGTCCTATTTTGGGAATAAAAAATATGACAGTCCTATTTTATAATTTTCAAACTTTTTTAGTCCTACTTCGGGAACTTTTCCTTTTTTAGTTATGTAATTATAAAATCGCAGGACAATATTTTTGTTAATTATAATGAAATTAATGTAGTTCTGTTTATTAAAAATGTCAGAGCTTTGAATCTTATGTTAGACATCCACCTACACATCCCATTAGTCCATCTAAGATATATTACACTATAATACCATTATTAAGATAAGTAAAATTGTGTGCATGTGTTAACAAAGTAAACATTTTGTCAAAAGTAAAACTTACATGCTCTTGGATGGCCGAATATATTCTGATCTTTCAAATCGGCTATCAAATTGTTTAGCTTTATCTTAAAGACCCTTGTAACCAAATCGGGCCGATCTTCTGGTCTCACTCCCGCCTTTTTTACTTCTCTCTCTATTTCTGGTCATTTGGGATTGCACGTAAATGTGATGAACAAATCCGGGTTTCCGAATTGTGTGACTATCGCCATGGCATCTTGGTAATTTTGTATCATATACCTTGCACCTCCTGTGAAAGAAGATGGTAAAATAATTCTTTTGCCTTGAGTGTTTGGGTTTGTTTCGCCTCTTACAACCGCATCGGTTAACCCATTATAAACATCTGCTCTTAGCTTCTTTTGATTTAGCCGGACATACTTCAAGCGATCACTTTCTATCATCGTATAAGCATCAACAATAAATTGATGAAATAGTCTTCGTGATGATAGAATTGTACTAAATTCGACATCCCTTTGTTGAAGCCTGTAGGCAAAGAATTCTCTCATTGTGACATCTTTCCGTTTGATAGCATCTCTACCTTCAACTTGTCTATACTTGATCTCTAATCTATACCCATCTTCTCCATATGGAAATAGTATGGGATATTGCAAGGCCAAATATGAAGGATGGAGCTCATTAATGCGTTGCAAAGTGCAATCTTTGTGCTCCAAAATAATATCACGGTGAGAAGACATACTATCCAAATCTCCGACTATAAGAACAGCCACTTCAGATGCAGTGGGCAAATTATATGTTCTTCCATCTCTTTCACGGTTACAAAGTAGCCTGAGTTTGAATTCTGTTTGTGGTGCTTCTTGGAATCTATCCCTTGCAGAACGAAAGCACTTCGCCAACTCATTGTGTTGGTCCATCATATCTTTCAAGCCATGAACTATTTCTGGATCGAGCTCATTTGATGATTCTGATTTCCTAAATTCACAAAAAATGAAAATATCAATGTATTTATTCGTGTAATGAAAAAAATATTATCTAATAAATTTAAATATTTTACCTGGGCAATTTTTAATATGGATTGTTTAACTTTAATTTAAATTTATTAAGGCTAGATAAATTATTCTTTAAAAAAAGGTTAGAAAATTTATCCATATATTTCTATGATTAATCAAACAGATTGTCTAAAAAAAGACATTCAAACATGTGTAATTAATTAACCGTATAAGTATTTAGTTAAGAAGTCATGCATATAAAAAATTATTCAAACCGATACCATTCCTAATATATAAATTTATATTAGTAGACAATAAAGTAAGTGTGTTACAAACTTACTCTAATGCACGAAGTCTGTTCGGTATCTCATTCTCCGTGTCATAAATATAGAGCTGTGAGAACTTAGGTTTGCTCGAATCAACTGGTAGCAAGCTTCCCATCAAGTGATAATTTTGACCATGCATTCGATATACATAGGGTCCTCCGGAATTATTGAGTTCTTTTTGTACCTTGCCCCCCAACGAAGAAAATGCAAACATCATATTATATGCCCTAATATTGTTCAGGAACTTTGTGCTTCTTCTATCTCTACCTTTGAATAGTTCTAAAAGAAAATCAGGTGGTTGTTGTAGCGATGGTAAAAGAACCTGCCCTTGTTGACAACACATTGAAAATTTAGGACTGTTGGTGTTGACTTTTGGAGAAAGTCTTTCTCCATACCACATTTTGGAGTAGCAAAATTGGCATGTGTGGTCCATAGACCCAATGTCATGATATCCTATTCAAATATGGTAGATTTTTAAAAAAACAACCTATTTGTAAATGACATGAATAAGGTGTGTTTATGAGAGAGTTAGGAAATCACACTACATATAATATGTATTAAATTCATAAGATTGAGATAAATGTTAAATGTACCCGGAAAATTCATAACAATGGACGGTGCATGTTGTGGTAACAGTAAGAATTGATGCGGGTTGAGTTGGGGGCATTCCTTTCGTTGGCGGGTTCTGGTTTATGTTGTAAGTTTACTCTGCAACAGTTCTCATGTTCTTAAAATTGTTGCAGATAAAGTTACAGTCTGTAGCACCACTGTGAGCAGTATAGCCTTCATGAAATATATTGTTTCCATAACAGAACCCTTACAAAAATCTTGTGGAAGTTAACAATATAGGATTTAAATTCAACAGATCGATAGTGGGTGGTTGGGCTGTTAGAAGCTAGCAAATATGGCCCGACACCATGCACATTTAAAGTCTATATGTGCACATTATCATATGTTGAAATAACTTCAGCCTTATAAGTTATGGTGATTTCATGTGCCAACAATTTGTTTGATATGTTCTGCTCCATCCCTCTCCCTTAGAGATAAGAAAGGAGAAATAAGGTGGCTTTAGACATAGTAAATTTAGTTTATAGTATCAAGCCTCAATGCAATTTGCTCATTGAAATAGGAAGTCTAGTTCCTAGTACAAAGTCCCCCACAGCCCACCCCACAAAATTGACCAAGTAGTGTTATGTTATTGGGGTTTTTAAATTTTCTAAACACTTGTTAAAAGATGCAGAGTATGATTTAGTGTAGTTCTCACAGTCAATGTTTTTACCATGTTATGACCTCTGTCTTCATAAGGAGTCATGTTTCATGGATTTAACACTCTTAAGGAGTCAGTATAAATTTTCTACATATGGAGTACTTCTGAATAACACCCAGGGCAAACTCTAAAGGAGTCATGTTATCCGATTACTTTGGATTTTGATTTTTTTAACCGAGTCACAGGCACAATGAAATTCAATGTGATTGCTTTTCTCTATTTATCTAATTCAACCTATAATAATTAACACTATTTATAGTGTTATCTAAATAATAACTATTTAGATAACACTATTTATATAAGTAAGTATAATTATTACGGTACTGTCATGTAATTGAACCTATAGTGTTAATTATATTTATTGACACCAAATTTCATGCCTCTAACATGATTAATTTAAGATATTTATATGCAAAACATAAGTAATAAATCTATAAAATTGCTGCAATTTAAACATACATTTTCATCAATTAAAAGTAGTTCGTAAGAAATAAATTGATTCGGATTGGACTGACGAAAACTATCCCAATGAGTGACCAGCCTTGCACGTAAAGACCAGATTTGCTTTCGATTAGAGACCTCGTTGATGCAATCATATTGCACCATGGAAGATGGGTGAGAAATAACCATTATTTTAAGTGTAATAACTCTCTGGGTTGTGATGTTGTATGCTAATTGGTATTTGCACTGCCGTAAATGTTTTATTATTTATACAAGTTGATTCATAAGGGATACGGCAAGATGTTTGAGAGTTGAGTTCTAATAGCCTTGGGAGTGTTTAGCTTCAGCGAGATGGAATTTGAGTCCTATTCCAAATGACTTACTCTTTGTTATGTGAATTAATAGACCTGGGAATTTATCTTCACAGATTTTAATTAAATTCGTTATGGAGTTTATCTTTCGTTATGTGAGTTTTCCGTATTCAAAATGTCATTTTAATTAATAGACCTGGGAATTTATCTTCACGAATTTGAGTCCTATTCCAAATGTCATTTTTAATTAATACACCTGGCAGTTTTCCTTAGTTTTAGGATTACCGAGAAGTTAGAATTTATCATATTGACTTTTCGTTATGTGTGATTTAAATGATTTAATATAGGAGTTTTATTCCAACTTCTCTTAACGAATAAGATTATGACACGTCAACCCTTTAAAACTGAGTTTTACTATTAAAACAATAGATTTTGAAAATCAATGTCAATTACTCCTTTTGTTGTTTAAAGAGTTTTGTGCTTTACCTTTTGAGTGTTCCTAAATTAAGCCTCTTTTTCTCTTATTTGGTAAATAAAGTTCTTCAATTTAATCTATTAATTTTAATAATAACGACTGCACATTATCAAATAGTGTTGAACATATCAAATTTTAGTGGAAATTTGAGTTTGCACCCCACTTTTTTGGGTGGTATTGGATTTTGCACTCAATTTTAAAAACTTTTAGAGTTTGCACCTTATCGTACAACATTTTGTGAAGAAAAATTCTTGAATGGGTGCAAAGGCAAAGACTTTTCAGGGAAAATATGGTGCAAAGTCTAAAAGTTTTGAAAATGAGGTGCAAAGTCCAATATCGTCCAAAAAGTGAGGTGTAAAGTCAAAATATCCCTAAACTTTATACTCAATAAAAGGGCATTTTAAAAAGTCAAAGTGAAAAAGTATATTTCCCTAAAATGCACGTAAGTTTAAATATGGAGAGCTAGAAATTACCCCAAACAGGAGTAAAACTATTGTATAAATAAAAAATAGGAATTCTTATTTTTTTATTTCAAATTACTCCATATTACTCCTATTTGGAAATATACCTATTTTTTCATTCCATATTACTAAATGTTTTCGTTCCATCGCCTATACTGCCTTCCTACACTATCACCTCTGACCCGTGTAAAAAAGTTTGATTATGTCATTCCTAATGCAATGTGACATATTTTGCCCCGGGGTGAAAGGAGACGGTGGTGCTGGGTTTTTTAGTTCTCCAAGGTTGAATCCCCATGCCCCAATCGGAAGTAATGGGAAAGATAAATCGATTCAATCACGATCCCTTATAGTCATTCTCTAACAAACCCTAGTGAACTTTGAAATAAATCAGTGAGTAGACTTAACAGATTAACTGTATTTTGGGACGAGAGGGAAATGCACAAGTCCATGCAAATCTGCCCAACACATGAACAGCAGCACAGCACTGTCCAAAACCGTGTCCCATATCATTCCTCAAACTATCCGACAATCTCTGTCATGGAACTTGAATTTTCTAAACTCCCGGTTTTCCCCAAAACCCGCCTCGTTTTTGGCTACCGATCTTCTCAAGTCTTACTTCGAAAAGGGTCTCATAAGAGAAGCCTGTACACTGTTCGATGAAATGCCACACAGAGATGTAGTCGCTTGGACGGCCATGATATCCGGGTATACTTCTTGCAACCTCTACCAACGCGCGTGGTCTGTTTTCTATGCGATGATGGGAGATGCCGGCGTCCAACCAAATGAGTTCACGTTTTCGAGCACATTGAAGGCTTGTAAAGGAATGAAGTCACCTTCTTGTGGCGCTTTAGTTCATGGGCTGGCACTCAAGCACGGCAATCATGGAAGCTTGTACGTTGCCAATGCACTCTTGGACGTCTACTCTACGCTGTTTACATCCATGGATGAGGCATGTGACCTGTTTAGTGAAATCAGTGAGAAAAATGACGTGACATGGACAACAATGATTGCTGGGTACACTCACCGTGGCTATGGTTATTGTGGCCTTCAAACTTTTAAGCAAATGATATTGGTACGTTCTCCATTATTTACTGCATCGTATATAAGTATAACAGCAAATAAGAGTAAAAAATGTGTACTTGTGCGAAAATGAGAGTATTCTTCACTTCTTGTATTGTGCTAAAAAATTGACTCATATTCATGATTTTTTTACTTGTTTTTTAATGGACAGGAGGGGGTTATGCCAAATGCATTTAGATAAAGAAAGTATTTCAGTAGTAGCCAAGTAGACGAGTCATGACTCATGAGTCATATTTTTTAAGAAAAAATGTAGTCCCGTTCAGTAGCGGATTCAGGAAGGGGCTGGAGGGACCTCGCCTCCCCCCTCCCCATTTTTTTCTAGTACAAATATACATAAATATAAAAACATATGTTCAAATATTAAGCTTTTGCCCCCTGCAGTATAATTCTTGTAAGACATCACTTGTCCCGTTTCAAGGAATATGGTATTCCATTTTTTCTATTATTTGCTCCATCTTTTTAACTTGGCGCGTTTCTCATATGAAACACATAAATATACCTCTCTTTTCTTTCTTTCTTATTTTTTCTACATTTTCATTTTGTCTCCTACTATTTACTACCCTTACGATTTTCTCCTTTGAACCCATTAAAACCCTAGTGACTCAAATAATGAAAACCGGAGGGAGTACAATTTACTCCTTTTTAAGGGTATTTCCTTGTTATTTTTTTTATTGATTATTCATGCCTTTGGGTAAAATATGTGCATGTGTGTGAACATCACCTTCCCCGTTTCCTAATTTCTCACGCAATTTCATATTCATGATTTTCTTACTTGTTTTTTAATGGACAGGAGGGGGTTATGCCAAATGCATTTACCTTTTCAATAGCTATAAGCGCCAGCACTTCAATCAGCCCATGTTCATGTGGAAAACATCTCCATGCCGCAGTAATCAAACATGGATTTGATTTTAACGTGCCAGTTATGAACTCCATTTTAGACATGTATTGCAGGGGAAACAACTTAAACGAAGCGGACCACTGTTTCCATTACATGCCTCAAAGAGATATAATCACCTGGAACACTCTGATAGCCGGGTATGAGAAATCTAATCCGAAGGAGTCCATCAAATTGTATTCTTGTTTGGAATCAGAAGCTCCAAGCCCCAATGCCTTCACATTTTCCAGCATTGTAGCTGCTGTTTCTAATTTGGCAGCACTTAGTTGCG